ACGGGCCCTGCGGAGCTTAAGGACCCGGAGTCAACTTCTTTTGGGCTGCGCAAGCCCTCGTCGTGCTCGAACTCTCACAAGCACACAGACACACACGAACCCACAAGACACACACAGACCACACAGCAGCGACGAGACACACCAGACACACCACACCGACCCACAACCACAGTGAATTAGTAAAAGTGGTGACAGTAAACTCGTAAAAATACCAGTTAAGTTGTGAAAACTACGCTGGTTACGGTAAGTTAGTGCAAAAACTTGTGCTAGCTAGAAAAGCGACACACCTTTCACGTCTGGTTGACCCCAGCCTTGCAGTGCAGCCAAGTGTTTGAGTCTGTTCCAAACTTTTTCCAGGATATTTGGTCATTTTAATAATATTGCCCAGGTGTTTCTGGTGAGTGGAAACTGCGTCCCAGGTTTCCAGGGACGCGGTGGGAACGCTGACGTTGCAGCATTCTTCTCTTGTTTATGTTTAGGAAGAGATGCATCAGACCGTTGGATACATCAGGGGCTCAGGACTCATGTTTACGCGTACAGTGAGAGGACGAATATTTTCTACTGGGGGGTCGTGTTTTTACTATGAATCGACCTTCTGGCTTTCTGTCCAAAACATGGGTCTGACAGCAGAAGAAGAGGAAGAGGAACAAGGGACCTCACCGGCTGGTCGGACAGCTGCCGTATCGAGACCTCCTCCGCTTTCAGAACTGCGATTCACACACCGGGACTGTCCCAGAGCCTGCAGCAACACAAACACTCACAGCATTAACAACACACACACAAAGCAAACACACATGCTCAATCATATAAAGATAACAACTGGCGAAAATCAACGGACAGGGATAACAAACAACCTCATCTTTTACAGAGTTCTAAGTTATTTTAAAGTTCTGTGGAAGATCTCCCAGATGCACTTATATGTGTGGGTGTGTGTGTGTGGTGGTGTGTGGGTACCTTTCTGGTCTCTATGGCCTCCCATCATGTCTTGCTGAGGAGGGGAGGGCCCGGGAGTCGGGGGTCCAAAACTGATCCGGGGATCGGTCCGGCAAGCATGAAGCCTGAAGACAAAAACCACGATTGAAAACGATCCGGTCAAACACCAGTTTCTGTGGCTCAAGTTGTGAAGAAACTGCAGGCTGGATATGAATTATTCAATCATGTCGGTTGCAGTAAAAACCACTGGAAATTATGATTGATTAATGTCAGTGTGACTCGTTTACAAGGGACTTTGATTGATCGGTTCTGGTTATTACACCGCATCTTGTTGAACTAAGAGATGAACATAGAAAGACTGACTGTACGTGTATTGATAAATGTTTCTGATCTATTTCTTATTTCACGGTACAATTACTCAATTGAAAGGGGAGGAAACTGTTGGAAGACCTGGAGCAGCTGGAGAACTGTTTACTTTGCAAACTCACCTGCACAACTGGACTACAATGAGTTAAATATGTCCAACGGAAGAAGCTTGGTTGTAATGTTAATAGTGTCAGATGAGACGCCTACTGTCTCACAGAGAAAACAGCTTTGGGTGGGTTTCTCTTTTCTCCTTTTTACCTGTTCGGCCTTTGATGAGTTTTACATCTGCTGGCATATCTCGGTGCCATTCAATTATCTGACTTCAATCAGTTCAATGTAAAACAATAAAGGTCTGAAGGATCTTTCCTCTGACTTGATCTCCATTAATGTTTTGCCCCCTCAGAGTCAAACAACTTCATCTAATAAATTGAGGAATTTAGTCTGTGAAACAACTTTTCAACTAATATCGAAAGGGTGAACGCTGCCAGGAAAGCAAGAGAGGATTCTGTATGTCTGAAACACACAGGTACATACAGCAAACCAAGAGCACTTTGGCTGCCAACACGAACACACACACAACACACACACACACACACACACACACACAGTTCTCCTGTTTCCTCTGAAGGCTGGTTTGGCAGCAAGATACACGAGCTGAGAATCGGTTTCAGTCAGCAAACCCACAACCCCTGACTAACACCAACGCTCTGTGTTGGTGGTGTCGTGTTGTGTGTGTGTGTTTGAGGTTTACTATAATTGCGTTTTTTCCGTTTGTGGTGAACATGCCTTGATTTCACTTAAATTGCAAACAGCTTGTTGCTTATGTGTGTGTGGTGTGTGTGTTATTCGTGCATAAACACGCTGCCCGCAGGCAGGAAGCAGCTGAAGGCAACACAAGGTAATGCTGAGTCCACTGAGCAGTTTTTCAGGTTGAAAAACTGAAAGTTATTTCAATAAAGAAAGAATCTGGGAGAACAACAGAAAAAGAATGACCACAGTAATGAGGTCCGTTAAGTTTAGTATGAATCCATTATTGAGGTTCATTCTGTCCACCAGATCTACGGTTGAGGACGGATTAATCTTGATTGTCCAAAATCTTAAAAAGTTATACAACATTACTGTTCTCTATTATAGCCACGAAAGGAGTCAGCCGATGGCTGGTCTTCACTCTCATCTAACAGAGACCGCTTAACTTGGAGCTTCATTCTGTTTCTGTTCACCTTTAATGGAAGTTACGGTGATCTGAAGGGGTAAAATGAAGTGTTTGCTGTCTCTTCTGGAGTCTGGTTGGAAGAGTGATAGTTGCATACTTACGCTGGTTTCGTGGTTAAACTAAAGGTCGTATCTCTGTAGGATCCTTTTCATAAATGACACTGACAATAACAACCTGAGTCTGTTAGTGGAACAAACAACAACTGTTAGTGGAACAAACAACAACTACTGTTAGTGGACGCACTTTGACAAACTCTGCTAACAGACTTAAGATCATGTGATTCATCTGGTTTTAATTGGAAAACACAGCTGCCTGTAATCATTAATAATGTATGTTGTGACTCCAGCGGAAGCAAATATAACAAATAAAATAGGACCTAAACTGGAACCTTGTGGTACGTCACAAGAGACAGCATCAATCCTAACTCTGTCTGACAGATAAGAAACAAACCACTTGAAGATTGGTCATTAGATATTACACATTAGTTTAGCCATCAGTTTTTTAACTACAAAGTAAAATGTAGTTTTAAATATTCCCCTTTAGGTCTGATCACATGTTGAGCTATCAGCTGGATTGATCTTTATCGTACTCACCCTCGGACTCGGAGTCGGTCCTCACTGATGCAGCAGAGGGCGGTCTGGGTGGGCGGGGCTTCGGAGTGGGAGGTGACATCCTCTTTCTGCCAATAAACTCCACATACGTCCCCGGGAAGTCGCCCTTTTCCTGTCGGCCAGAGACAGACGAGTGTGAGGCGCAGAGACGAGCACGAAGCGCAGGTAGATTTTAGGTTTGCTGGGAAACATAAACGAGTTGGGCCGTGTTCACGTGTTCCTTTATGTGTACCGACCGGCCGAGACTAATGTGACCCTCACTGTCCACCGTACCGTATTGTGACGTCAGTGGATCAAACTAAAGCAGCTCACTACTATTCAGTACTTTCTACACAATGACTGTTCATAGCCGTAAGAAAAACTGTGTTACCTGTTAAGAGAGACAAAGAGAAAGAGCCTATTTTTGTCAAATAATGCAGATTCACATTCAGTTTTATGGCTGGCACATTTTCTCAGTTTAGCTGCCATTTGCTGATGAGTTAAAAAGTGAATTTCGGTCCCTGCGTAGAGATGTCTGATGATGTGTAAAACAAACAGGACGTAGTGTATATTGGTCTCTATTCCTTCATTATTTGTTATCTTTAAAGTTTGTTCAGGATACGTTTTTGTTACAAAATTAAAAAAAATCGACCAATACATGCTTGTCAGATTAAAATAAGAGTATTGATCGGGCTGTAAACATTGACAACATCTGGACTCTCAGCTGAGGATACGACAGAGAATGTCACATTTGATTTATTATTTAATTTGCACTGAAACCATCTGCTGTTCAGTGGATTAATAACTGAGAAACAATAATTCTTTCCAGTTTTGATAAATCAGTCGTTTACGTCATTTGTAAAGTAAAATAACCAAACAACAGCAGCTCTTCTTCGTTTAGTAACTGAATATTTCAGGGCTGCGTGAGGGCGATGACATCTAACAGTTACAATGAGAGTAAAGTTTGACACTGAAGTGATAACATCAGAGTGAACACCAGCAGTGTGAGGGGGAGGTGAACTGATTCTTCCTAAAGCTGCTTTCTGTCCATTGTCAGTACGCTTTGAAGACTTTACTGAAGCATCCAACGTTACCTCAAACATTCTCTCAGCTCGACTGCAACGGTTTAAATGTCACCACAGAGATCAGTCTGAGGTTGTTGATCAGTGAACAGTGTGTTTCCTCTCAGCAGGTAAATGGAAACTTTTAGCAGCTCGTAGGTGTGAAGCAGCGTTGCTCGTTCAGCTGTTTGTGTAACAGAAACTCAGCGGGGACGACTCAAAGTGGCGGCAGCAGAATTCAAAAGAATTTCACGTTTTAAAGTCAAGATTTAAATCTCTAACGTGGAACATTTAAATCAATCTATAATCATTAAACAGTATATAAACTTTAGAGCTATGTTCTGTATGTAGTTGTCATATCCCCTTTGTGCCTGCGTCAGCGTTGTGGTTGTCTGCCAGAAGCTGTCACACACTGACTGTT